GGGGCAGTAGGGCAGACAGGTGGAGCAAGGAAATCAGACTCCAAGGCACAGGACAAAGGCCCCACTGCTGGCCTCCCCACGCAGGCATTGGCCCTGCTGACAAATGAGCTACAGCTTCTCTCATTAACTTGTGGAGTGGTGTGTAATAATAAAACGCTCCTTAAAGCTGGGACAGGACACACATGACTGCTTCCTCAGGTCCTAATCAGGATCATTAACTGTGTATGGAAAGGTTTTATAAACATTTGTTAAACTCCCGGGTTCACTGTGCCCATGTCTTGGCTAGCAGAGGCCAGCTGTGAAGATCCATATCCAGGGATCAGGATTCCATTGTCTTTCTTCAGAGGTTTCTCCATGCCAAGCCATGAAGTGACAGCAGTTGTGGGGTGAGGAGCCCGTCCGTGTTCTATATAGGACACTCCGGGTCTGCAAAATTAATGGCTAGGTGGAAGGGAAAAGAGCTGAGTCCGGTGCTTCCTAAATCTGGATTTCTGAGCCTTTCATATTCTGCCTCTGAGCCTCTGAGCCCCTCCCCATACAACAGAGGTGATATTTACTCCCCATATTTCCCAGAGACCTTTGGGGGAAACGACAGTCATGGGGTCCTAGGTCTGCCCCTCTGGCCCCTCCCCTCCTTTCTTCCAAGCTCTCCTTGCTTTTGATGCTGCTCCTCAATAGTCTCCCCTTGTTTTCCACCCCACTCTGTGTTGTCATCCCTTAACAAGGCTTTCCACCATGTTTACAATACATCACGTCTACCTCCCGCCTCTGGGCAACGGAAGGTGTGAGTCTGAAGCATTGGGCGGGTAAGAGGGCTGATTCCACCAGAGCTTGGAACCAGGTGAGGGATGAATGCAGGACTCTCTCAACAAGGGCAGGGCCAGAGGAGAAACACTACCCTCATCCTCCCAGCCCACCACCCCGCTTTGGGGGCGTGCTGACCCGAAGGGCTTTGCAGACATACTCCTGGCCTTGGGGGACAGTATGCAGAGGAGGGGCCAAGGGCTGGCAGAACTTTGCCTCTCTTCCCCTGCCGGAGGCCTCCTCAGTCCCTGGCAGGTCCTTTCCTAAACTCTTCCCTGATTTGGGGAATCTTTCCTGGCCTCATTCTCATTCCCCACAGAGGACTGTGTCATGAACCAGATGTGTCTTATTCTAAAGGATGTCCTTTCCCACTGTCTGGCCAATGGCTTCAGATGCTCAGTGCCCACTTCCTATTCCTGAGGAGGATGGCCAGTGGAGAAACCACAGCAACACTGTCTATTTAGCCCAACACATGTGTCCAGGCCGACCACCTCAGCCAGAGCCAGAGTTTCCAAAGCCCTGGCCAGGGAAGAAGGGTGTGGCCAGGCTGGAGGGGCGGGGCGCCACAGCACTGAGACCCTTTCCTCAGCTAGGAGTGTTTGTAGGGGAAAACACTGCAGGAGTTGGCCCCACGGAGTCCGAGAGGATAATGGACTACAGCCATGTGTGTCTGTGCGTATGTGTACACACAAGGAACACACACACACACACACACACACACACACATACACACACACACACACACATGCATTTGATGACTCTTAGAGGTGGGAAGTCAGGGAGCAGTTTAGATTCATTAAACACTGACAGTCAATGACCAACATCCCTGTGCACCAGGCCCTCTGCAAGGTGCAAGCTCTGCCTATTCCTACTTAAAATGCAAGGACTAAAGGCCCAAAAGCCTTGCCCAGCGTCACATACGTAGTACCTCTACTAAACCCTCCCATAGTTCCAACCTTTTCTCCTGGGAGGAAATCTTTGCTATGCCTGACGTCGAGACCAGTGATCCTCCAGCTCTGGGAGCTGAGAGAGCCCCCCCCCCCACCTCCATCCCCTGCCCCCACAAGCCTCAGGTCAAAGGCTGCACACCTGGGATGAACGAGGAAATGCCCCTCCCTGCTCATACCTTGAAGCTACCTCCATACCAGCGTTTAGCACCATGTCTTCCAGGCGCGGGGTCACATTCCCGTGCCTGCCCCGTGTTTACCACATTCAGGGGTAGACTTTGTTGCAAGGGACATTCTTGCTTCGCCTTGGAAAGCATCCCGTACAAACTAATGCATAAACATGTGACGGATGGCGTCTGGTCACCTGGGAGTAGGCGAAGTACACTGTGAGGAGGGGACCTGCCACAACCACCAGATAGTAAGTCTCGGTAGAGCCCAATCCCAGCATGCTTCAGAGTTCCAGGTCCAGCTGTCCATCAGTGCCATCCACTTGCTCTGTTAGCCATGGGGTCCGGGACTATGTAAGCAAGCAAGGCTCCTGGTGATGATGACATTAGCTTGGTTTGAGGGCCCTGATTGGGCCTTGTTCTGTCTCAGCGAGCGCTGGGAATTTGAAGGGGCGGCAGCTAAATGACATGAAATCACAAAGAGTGCGACCATAATCCCCCAAGAACCTCACAGCCAGGTTCATGGCACAGGCGGATAAAGATCAAGGCCACGGCAGGGACAGGGCTGGCTGTGCTCACAAAGTAGATGGGCTAGGGTTGGAACTTGTTGGCCATTCCCCAACTGTAGCTTGAGACAGCTAGAAACAGCAGAGTGAGCTTGCCGAGGTGGAGGGGCCAGGGAAGGAGAGGGGTCTAGGCTGGAAAACCACACATGCTCTCAGCCTTGGTCTCCAAACTGTAGCAGCACGTGGCATTAGATTTATCTCCTGTCTCCTTCTCTCAGCTTAACATGTTCTACTATAAGCGTCTCTTGTGCAGCTAGAAGGAGGGGCAGGAAAGGATTATAAGATTCTGTTTTAAAAGAAAAAGGAAAAAAAATCCCTCCCTGCTCTTAGTTCTCTCCTTTCCCCTTAAGGGGAAAATACGGAAAAGAGGTTTTTTGTTTTGTTTTGTTTTGTTTTTTCCTTCCCCTTGCTGTGGCTTTGGCTGTTTGGCTAGCTCTCGTGGGCACTGTGAATTTACAGCATAGGCTCTCTTGAAGTAGCTTTAGGCAGAAAGATGGTGGGATTTTATTCTTCCTAATTTAAAACAATAATAATTGTTCACGCATTAGGAAGCATTCCTATGAAATCAATCCAATCTCTCAGAACAACTGGGAGAGAATGAAGCCAAACTTCCAGACTGGCTTCTGGGGAGTTGTTTCTTCCTTCAGCCTCTGAGCAGACTGAAGCCAGCTCCATGCTAGGCATGTAGTGGGTAAGGGTGGTGGCCAGGAATGACCTAAGTGAGCCTAGCTGTGGCGTTGTCGTGAGGAGCAGGGAACAGGTGTATTCCTTGATGAGATGAAGCTGTGGTTCTGAGTGTACAAAGCCCAATGTGTGGGTAGGTACCTGCTGGTCTTCTACTGATATTAAGAATCCAAGGGGAGGCCTGAGCTCCGGGAGGGAAAAGTAGCAGCTGGGGTTCATCTGTCTTCTTGCAAGTCTGTTGTGCTTGGGTGTAAGTCCAGTATAGTGTGGTGTCTTAGGGTGGTTTCTATTGCTGTGAAGAGACATCATGACCATGACAACTCTTACAAAAGAAACATTTAATTGGGGTGGCTTGCAGTTTTAGAGGTTTAGTCTATTATCATGGCGGGATATGGTGGCATGCAGGTGGATATGGTGCTGGAGAAGGAGCTGAGAGTCCTACATCTTGACTTGCAGGCAACAGGAAGTGAACTGTTTACCACACTGAATGTAGCTTGAGCAAAGGAGACCTAAAGCCCACCCCCACAGTGACACACTTCCTCCAACAAGGCCACACTTACTCCAACAAAGCCACACCTCCTAATAGTGCCATTCCTTTTGGGGGGAGGGCATTTTCCTTTAAGACCCCACAGGTGGGAACTAGCATAAGGTAAACTGAGGGCCAGGTTAGGGAGGGGCTGGTGGCTGGTGAGGGGTTTGGTTACTCAGGGAGTTCAGGGATGTAAAACTGAGATCTTAGCTGTGGATGAAACTGAAGGAGAGAAGAGAAAACAAGGTCTTCAGCTAGAGAACAGACTCAAGGCACAAGACAGCAACCAGAGAGGATGGAGCTGGCATCGGCGAGAGACCTGAGGCTCTGTTTGTGTCTCTGAGAATTGTCCCCAGCTGCAGCTCCCTGTGCACATGGTGAGCCTGATCAGGGGAACAGGGAAGAAATGAAGCAACCTTCATCTAGAAAGAAGAGTTGATTGAGCAAATAGGGAGGTAACCCACGTGTTATCCTCAGAGGTGCTCAGCGTCAGTGGTGACTTTGGGATTCCCCAGGGCCACCTGGGGAGGGACCTGGAGCTTGGAGGTTTGCACAGCAGGAGAAATGCACACCCCATTTGTCAGTGATAGTCCTTGAATCTGTTGCTGGTGTGAACAAAAATAGCATCTCTTTCGATCACAATGACCCAGGTGGTATAGCAATGATATTGTCTGCACTGCCATATTCCATGGGTTGGACCACTGCAAGGCTTGAGCATTCAAAAAGCTGCCATTAGCTCTAATTGGCTTTCTGGTTCCTTGGTGTTACAAAAGGGTCATCCATTTTACCAATGAGAACAGAGTGTGTCTTCCAGAACCGACGTGATACAGGTGTGGGTAAAGGAGATCTTTATGGATGAACCCTCAAGGGGTCTACAGGAGACCTTGATCTTGCCCAGTGCCTGTCTGTCTCTTCCCTTCTCTCTTCTCAGGCTGTCTCTGTCTCCCTGTTATTCTCACCATTTCCATCTGTCTCTGTGTCTGTCTCTCTTGCTCTCCTCTTACTTTCTGTCACTTTTGGACTCCATCTCTCTCTTGTCATGCTCTTGCTGTCTGTCCTTCTAGCTCTGTCTGCTTCCACTCTGCAGGGGTCAGTCCCTCATCCTACCCATTCCTGCAGCAGGGAGGGCCGAGGTGAAGGCTCTGGGACAGGGAACACAGTCTCTTTGCCTTTCTGTCTCCCTCCTCCTTCCTTCTGTCACTTGAGTGTCTTTGGGTTCCTAGGAATGTCAATGGAGCCTTTTTGATAGTGAGGAAAGGATGGTGGCTCAGGGGGACCCATGCCCTGTGATATTCTTTTTCAGGTCTCAAAGAAGGTCTGGAGTTGGGACGTCCCAGAAGTAGTGAAGCCTCCATAAAGAGAGGTGTGTACTTGGGAGGAAGGAGCTGGGGACTCCTGCCTGCTCCAGGACTGCACAGGGATCGCTGTTGGTTATTTGCGGCGCTCTTACCCCGTGAGGAAACGTCACGAAACACAACAGAATCCACTAACAAGAGTTTTATTAAGATAAGGTAAAGAGACAGAGGTGCACAGGCCTATGGAAAAGACACGTGAGTAAAGATGGAGCTGGGAATCGTGGCACCGGCTTTTAAAGGCTGGGCCGCGCCTGCGCACACAGGCTCATGTGGCTATTCCACGCATGCGCGAGGATCACATGGTTGCGCTGCGTGCTTTACACAACCACGCAAAGCCACGGGGTCCTGGTCACGTTTTTTTGACCCGGAAATGACTAGGCGGAAGTGACTAGGTCCCACCGGGCATGCGCAACCATGCCCAACTGTGGGGGTGTGCTGTGAATCCATATCAATCGCCATAGTGACTCAGGAGGGTATGAGTCCCTGGTACATTCACTGTGTTTGGCCTAGCAAAGACTTAGAGGCCCTCTCTGCTGATTGAGAGAAGATGCTTTCTCTTCGAGAATTAATTACTATCCAGTGAACCAAGTGGCATGGGAAGACGGTGATCTCACCATTCTGGGAGGAATGGAAGCAGAAATTGCCTGACAGTCTGCTGAGGTTGCTGTAGAGGTGACAAAGCACATTTTAGGGATGGGACTATTGACTTCCAAGGTCCTTCCTAGGCCTGGGCTTGCAGGATTGCTCCCACTCCATCCAGTCCCCTCTTCATCTGTCCTCTGCTTTGGCAGCTAGCTGCCTTGTAGATGAGTCAAAAGACAGCCTGCTGCCACCTCCTCCCCGGGTGGGGCTCCAAGGAGCCGCCAAGGCCTCCCACTCCCTCAGTGGCACAAGGTCACTGCATTCACAGTCTCTGGGCTGCCGCCTGCAGCCACCGCCCTCTGGGAGCCAAGAACTGAATCAGTTGGTTAAACAAGGAAAAGTCACACACACACACACACACACACACACACACACACACACACACACCATACACAGAGCATACACAGACACACGTACACAGAGCATAGACAGACAGACAGACAGACACACACACGGAGAGGGAGAGTTGAGCCTGGAATGTCAAACACCCTCGTGCTCTGGCCTTTTATCACAAGCCCATGGAGATGAAATTCTGACCTAATAATCAAAACAAGCTGTAATTGCAAACAGACCCTCTGAAGGCTGCATAGGCAGCTTGGCCTGCGGGCCTGGGGAGAGAGGTACCTGCTGAGCACAGCAGGCTGGCCCACGTCCTCCTCCTCTTCCCCCACGGATCAATGTGGCTGTCCAGCCACCCACCACGCACCATTTTGCTGGCCTGGCTGGCTGGAGCCCTGCTCATATTCTGTCCCTGTGGGACCCCAGGGCTCCCTGTGCAGAGAAATCAGCATGGAGGAAGCCAGCTCCAGTGAAAAGATGATTGACTGCTCAGCAGCACCCCAAGAGGCCATGAGGGGGTAGAGCGGGTGTTACTCCCACCAAGCCTGCCTGAACTCCACCTCCTCTTGGCTCTTCCGAGAGGTTCTCCTGGGTGCAACCCCAAATCTGGAAGGCCTTTCTGTCTCTTCACAGCCCCCACCTCCTTTTTTTTGTGTGTTTTGTTTCAGGCACACCCTCAGCTCAAATTTGCTTTGAAGGTCAGTAATTTCCATTCCTGCTTTTCAAAAACAATCGCACAGTTCTTCAGGGACCCAAATGTTGATTCTCTTCAGTAAAGAATGAGTCTTCCCCAGCAACAAATACATTCCAGAATTATCCATCCAACACTTCCAATGGGCCAGACATCCAGAAAAAGCCAAGGACATGTCAGCCTGGTCTAAGTTTCCACAGTTCTCCCTCTAGGGGAAGCTCAGCCAATGTGTGCCACATGCTAGGTCAGGGTCTTTCCATAGGTCCTGAGTGGGAACAGGAAAGGAACCCTATGTTGGTGACATTGGATGCTGGGTCAGTTTTGAGACCAGTGCTATTTCCTGTGTCTTTTCGTTCTAAATTGTTTTAGATTATTAGGGACTTTCAGAGCTAAGGCCAGCTGCCCTCATTAAGGATGACCCAGCAGTCACAGCTTGAGGAATCAGAGGGCAATATCAAAAGGGACCTTTTGAGCCCACCCGGGCCCCCCTACCTGGAGAGTTTGGGCTGGGCTTGGGCACACAAGCTGTGGCTTCCTAATGGATCATTTTTCTGAAATCCTGGCTGGATCCAGACTGCATGGTCCTTTCTAGATTGGGCAGGCCAGGGATACTTCAAGAATGTCAGCCCTATGAGCTGCGCATGAAATCCTATCAGTCTCTATTGGGGAAAATTATAAAGGCCACTCCACGTAGTTAAAGGGAAGATTTATTTAGTGGATGACTTGCAAATGAAGGAATGGATAGGTTGCGGGGGTCTGGGGAAGGTGTATCGCAATCCAGCGGTGTTCTCTGGAACTCTGCACAGTCAATCTCCACCGTCCAGGGTCCAGGCGCAGAGAGCGCGCACAGAGAGAGCGCTCGCCCATCCAGCTCTCGGGTTTCCAGCACCTCCCCTTGCCCCGCCTCGTAGGCAGTGACAGTTGCCAGAGTCTCAATGGGGGTTGAAACTTCCAGATCCAAGCTGGAATGGCTACCCACTACAGTCTCTGAGCTTGAAATCCCACCAGTCCCTGGGCCTGAAATCCTACCAATCCCTGGGCCTGACTGAAATCCCACCAATCCCTGGGCCTGAAATCCTACCAATCCCTGGGCCTGACTGAAATCCCACCAATCCCTGGGCCTGAAATCCCACCAATCCCTGGGCCTGAAATCCCACCAATCCCCGGACTTAAAATCCTACAGATCCCTGGGCTTGGCTTGAAATCCCATCAGTCCCCACCCTGGAAATCTCCACTCTGGAAAGCTCTGCCCCTCCTCCCCGAGCCCTATACAAAGCCTGCCTCCTGATCTAGTCCTTGCTGCCTCTTGCCCAAGCAGAAGCAACCACCCTCTTGTGTCCCTCCAAATAAATCTCTTGTGTGAGGTTTGTTGTTTGGTGTGTAACTTTGGGATATTCCTTGGTTCCTGACTGCCAAGATACCCTGCCCTTCAGAGCTGTAAACACTTGCATGGGGGAATCTCCCCACTCAGAGCTGCAGCACTTATACTGTTTCCTAGAACATACCTGTTCACCAGCCTCTGAGCATCTGTACTTTCCAGAGGACTGGTCCCAGAGAAGACACCCCTCTGGTTCCATGTCTTGGGGCTCTTTACTGGGGAAGCTGGTGGGTCTTGGGCTGGGAGGCAAGGATCTATCTCTTGCCTGGCCCACCTCTGACCTGCTCTGGGACTCTAGGTGAATGACTAGCTCTCTCCTAGAGATGACTGCAACATTGACCCTAGGTGTTCTGGCCCCACTAGAAGAAATGATTGACATGGGTGGCTTCTGAGAACAAAGGGCTACAAACCTGGAAAATTTTGGTCAAGATGTTTTGATTACTTGCTAATTTCCTCTCTGTGTTCGGTCTCTACTGATTTCTTCTACCCACAAAGGATAATTAGCCATAAAGCCATTTGTGGCACTCCAACCACGTTCTACAAATATCCCTAAAGGGAAGAATTTAAAGGAGAGAGGACCAAGGCTCAGAGAGATAGAGGAGAGCCTGCCCTGTAATGTCATTTATAATCTCCATCTCAGACAAAGCGTTTTGTGAGAATCGACATTGGGACTTTGCATCAGGTTCATCCTATTCTATAATCACCGGTCTAGGGTGACTCCGAAGATACTTCAACCCCAGACTGTTGACCTTCAAAGTGAATGTTTTTTGTGTTGTCTTGCTTGCTGGATCTCTGAAGACAGTTTTTCTTGAGACAAGCCAAGGGCCTGGAAGGGCTGCTTTCAGATCTCTCTCTAAAGACACAGTGGAGGAACATGACTGGACACTGTCTCTCAGGATACTGGACACAAGCGCCTCTGTGAGGATCTGAAGCCCTCTGCCCAGCTTCTCTTCCCTAATCCCCAATCCAGTGGCTCTGTGCTGCCCAGAGCCTGTTGCATTGGGTAGGTTCCTTGGCTGGGGTTCTGATTCTTCACAGCATACTCTATTGCTTTGTTGTGTGACACTATTCCAGGGGTGATATGAATAAATGTCTACTCACCCCAGATAGGGAAACAACAACAGACCAAAGTATGTGCACCACCAAATTCCAATGTGGTGAACCAATATGTTTTAATGTACTTGCTTAGAGGAATATGGATGAGGGGTACTTACAGGAGCAGAACTGATTCAAAGACAGCTGCATCACCATTAAAGCCCGCCCCCACACCCCCCCAGCACAGGTGACAGCTCACAAAACCTGGAAACCTGGAGCACAGTACACAACATTCAGGACGCTCAACAGGGTGAACAGTGGCCGTTCCTAGTGGCTCAGTTGCTCTGAGCCTCTTCTAAGGAACTCGTTTTGCCTTTGTTTCTAGGCAGTTTGGCTGATCTCTGCTTTTTCCAGGCTGGGTCTGAGGCTCTTCTAAGAAATTTAGGTTTGTTCAAGCAGTCCTGTTTCTAGACTCTTGGGGAGGGAGGAGTCAAATGAATCTGGTCAGTTTCAGGGACTTCCTGAAGTTATTTTGAGTTGTTTACTTCCTGTCTTAAGGAACGTCCCTGAAGGATGGAATATTTCATCCTCTCCCCACCAACATCCTATGCTTCACCCTGTAACCATCCTGTCCTTATTATTCTGTTGCTCACTTTCCTTTACATCCTACCTCTTCAGGTTTCCAAGGTAGAAGGTTTTAACCTCAGAAGAAACTGTCCCCCCCCCCCCCCCCCGCCAAAAAAAAAAAAAAGAAAAGAAAAGAGAAACTGTCCCACATATCTCTGAGGGGCTCTGGTGCGATACCAAGATCAGATAGAATTGAGCAAATGAGCTCAGGTTATTGGTGTAGCTCTTGGCAGAGGTTCACAATCCCAGGTCACCAGGCCAGAGCAGTCCTGCATGGGATCCAAGGTAGATGGTTCCTAGGGTCCCTGGCAAGGGGAAAGGTGACATGTCAGGCAAGAGCAGGCTTTTTTTTTTCCCTATATAAGATCCTGGTTCGAATGTCTGGTGGTTGTTCAGGATGGGGGCTGACAATGAGGGCGGATCTTCCTGGCCTTTGGCATCCTCCTGGTCATTGCCCCAAGCCATCCCAAGCCTAATAGCCTCATCTTCTTTTCTTTGTATAGACAAATACCATACAGACCTGGGGGGGGGGGGCGGGGCCATCACTGTGGTTCTACCTGGTAGGAGAGCAGGGAATGAAACACTCTTCTTATTGGGCATTGGAGGGCCTCCATCCTTCTCCTGTGTTCTGTGCTCTATGTGGACTCTCACTGGGCTTAGGAAGCCTCACTATGCCTGACAGTGCACCCCCCCCCCCCGGGGGGACTTCTAGCTGTGTGGATAGGAAGGAATGACCTGGTGTCTTCCAGCAGGACATGGGATTTCTGAGCTTCCTTCAAGAGCCTGAGGAGTAGTGTTGGCCGTGGCTGTACTGTATCCATGCATATTAATGAAACAGTGGTGGGCAGGGGATTGGTCGTGCTCATAACTGCAGAAGTGAAGGCCTGGTGGAGGACAAATCACACCATGTTATGGAATACGATTGGTGGCTGGCTCAGTCCCCACTTCCCCTTAAGAGGTTTGTGAAGGACCCTGAGATGCCATGTCTTTTTGTTGGACAGATCAAAGAGGAAGAAAATATGGTAACTCCTGGTTTGTTTCTCTGAGCGGCCCTACTTCTTTTCACCCATCCTTTGCTCTTTTGTCCTTGAGGATCATCCTTAGGAACTTCTTAAAAGTTCGGAACTCGAGTGTCTTAGTTTCTTTTCCTGTTGTTGTGATAAAGCACAGTTCAGTGCACAGACCATCATCACGGGGAAGTCAAGCAGCAGAAGCTTGAAGCAGCTGGTCACAGGACATCCACAGTCAGAAGAACCAATAATGCTGCCTGCTTACCAGCGCTTAGTGCTCAGCTTCCTTTGCCCTTCATGATGGGGAAAGGGGCTCAAGTCACATTCTCCTTCCTTTGAAAATATCTTTGATTTGTACCCGAACAATTTCATACATCTATACAATACAGCTTGATTGTATCCAAGCCCATTCCCCACGCCTCCCAAAGCATCCACAACCCACATCTCCTCCTCTTCCTTCTCTCCTGCTCCCCTCAGTTCCCTGAGTCCAAACAGTGCTGCTTTCCTCAGCCTGGGCAACCCACCAGCAGCTCTACCACTATAGAAAAATGATTGGCCGGTAGCAACCAATCACAATAGCTCTTCAGCTAAGACAGGGGCTCCCGAGTCCTTCTCCCATATATGCTTGAATCTTGACTGGCTTGATCTCTAGTAGGCCTTGTGCAGGTAACTATAGCTGCTGGGAATTCATAAGCACAATGGCTATGCTATGTATGTCCAGATGACAGCATTTTGTGGCTCTCCTCTCCATCCGCTAGCTCTTAACCTCTGTGGGAATCCCCTCTGGATTCCAGGGCGGGGTTCAGCAACCTCCTCAGGTACCTACAGGCCCATTCTCCCTACCTCCACCCAGGTGGCTCAGCTTAGGGCCTGTCCTCCCCCACACCTTGGCAGTAGCAGCAGCTAGACCAGTATTCCAGGTTTGAGTGGCATTCCTGGTGGTACCACAGAGGATCCTGCCTGCAGCTGCTTTTACCAGTTTGGGGATGGCCCATGACTTCTCAGTGCCCTAGCACATCACTCTCCAATAGCCTCTACTGATCGTATCAATTCCTGTGACAGGTCACCTGAACAGTGTGCAGGCCCTGCGCTCAAGGCTGGCTACCGGGGGACATTTGTTTTACTGAAGGCTTGGCAGTGGAAAGAGCATGCACAAAGGTCTGGGATATGAAAAAGGATATGGCTCAGTTCTTGGGAATGGAAAAATGTTCCGCAGGGTGATGAGTGCCCAGAGAACAGGCTGGGAGGCCAGGTGCAGGTGAGATCGATGGTGAAGGATGGGCCAGTGGAGAATCCAGGCAACTGTGAAGGCCGCACTAGGAGATTTGGACTTGAACTTGACAGGGGTCATTGAGGAGTTTTCAGAAAAGGAATGATACTATTTTATTTATTTCTTAGGTCAATTTCTGTGGAGCCCAATAGAAGACATTCAACTTAAGGGAATAGTTGTGTGTGTGTGTGTGTGTGTGTGTGTGTGTGTGTGTGATGTCTCCTCTACCCCGTAGCCTCCTTACACACACACACACACACACACACACACACACACACACACACACACACACACACGTCTATGTACATGTGGCTGAGAAGATGGCCCCATCAGTTAAGCACTTACATAAGCACAAGGATATGAGTTTCGATTCCCAGAACCCATACAGAGCCGAGGAGGCAGAGCCTGGCATGTCCCCAGGTCTTAT